CGGAGGTTGCGGTGAGCCGAGATCGCGCCATTGCACTCCAGCCTGGGCAACAAGAGCGAAACTCCATCTCAAAAAAAATAAATAAATAAAAGAAAATAAAAACAAAGAAAGAGCTCTGTGAAGTGTTGAAGGACATAAACAGGGTGCTTTAACAGACAATAACCGAGAAGGAATAATTTAGATAGAGTGGTCAGAGAAGGTACCCAAGTTAATAACATTTGGGATGAAATATGAAGAATGAGAAGGCATCAGACACAGAACAAGGGAAGCAGAATCGTACGCGTAGGTAATTGCAAGGGCAAAAGCCCTCAGACAGGAAATAGCTTAGAAGACCTATGAAATTAGTTTGGTAAATATATGCCACTGCTGGTATACAGCACATGATACCTGAATAACCAGTTATGGAGCTGGTCATTTGTCTTTGTATATATAAGCTGTTGACAGAGATCACCCTCTCACTCTGGATAGTTACACCAAGGTAATGATGCTTTCTACTCTCCCTCTGGAAATGATGGAGTTGAAAATTCTGGAAGACCTACCTGATCACTGCCCTTTATTACCCCCATAATCCTTACAACCTGTGAACCTGATAATTGTCAACCTTAAGAAAGACACCAGAGAAAACCATCTCTAAATTGGCCAGGTGCAGTAGTTCATGACTGTAATCCCAGCACTTTAGGAGGCCGAGGCAAGCAGTTCACTTGAGGTCAGGAGTTCGAAACCAGCCTGGCCAACATGGTGAACTGTCATCTCTAATAAAATTTAAGAATTCGGCCGGGTGCAGTAGGTAGTTCACATCTATAATCCCCCAGCACTTTGGATGGCCAAGGTGGGTGGAACACCTGAGGTCAGGAGTTCAAGACCAGCTTAGCCAACATGGTTAAACCCCATCTCTACTAAAAATACAAAAATTAGCCAGGCATGATGGTACATGCCTGTAATCCCAGCTACTCGGGAGGCTAAGGCAGGAAAATCGCTTGAACCCAGAACATGGAGGCTACAGCGAGCTAAGATTGTGCCACTGCACTCCAGCCTGGTGACAGAGTGAGACTCTGGCTCACAACAAAAAAAAAAAAAAAAAAAAAAGCTGAGTTCATGGGAACAAAAATAAGGATTATAATCTAGAATGCATGGAATGGCATACCAGTGCATTCAGTGAAGGTAAGAGGAGTTTCTATTAGCAAAAAGAGATTTACATAAGCTGCCTAGAAACAGAGTTCATTGGCCTGGAGTGGTGGCTCACGCCTGTAATCCAAGTACTTTGGAGGTCAACACGAGCAGATCACCTGAGGTCGGGAGTTCAACTCCAGCCTGACCAACGCAATGAAATCCCGTCTTTAAAAAAAATTAAAAAAAAAAAAAAAAAAAAGAAACAGAGTTCATTGGTTCCAGAGGTTCAATGCCAGTTATTGTCAGTTCATTGGTGAAGATGCCATTATCGGGCAAGAGCCCTCCTGAGAACATTTTCAGTCCTAAAGTATGTATACTGATAAGTCTTATCAAAGCAGAAGATTTGAAAGAATTTCTAGAAAGTCCTTGGAAACGGAAACGGTTATCTCAGACATGTACACAAGAGCCTCTTTCCTTTCAGCCTTCTAGGCCTGTCTAGGTTGGACATAGGTGATTTCATCCTAGCATCCGGAACTTTCAAATAATCAAAGTAAACTTAAACAAGTAAACCACAAATTATGCTTATCATTTATCTGTATTTCCATTCTCGAAGCTGGCTAAGAGCTAATTCTTAGAGATGAGAATCCTTAAAGGGTAAAAATATGACTGACCTTCATAAAGCTTCATTTTATACCAGGAGGTAAGAGACGCACATTCTTTCACATGCTAACTAACAGCTTTAACATTCAACACAGGCAGAAACTTGCGGGCTTGGGAGAGAATGGGAGAAATATAACTTGTGGAAACATCAGACACAAAGCTGATTCCCAGAAACTAATCTTAGAAATAGTAAGTAATGAATACCTGCCAAAAAATGCCACCTTCATGTGCCTCCGAGATAGCACCTCAGCAATGATGGAAAGCTTGTCTTTATATCCCTGTATTTCTGCCAGATCATCCTCAGTGGCTATTCCATCAAGCTCTGGATTCTTACATGTTGCTGTAAAATTGAAATGGAATTAGAACAGCGATAGAAATGAATATTAAGTTAGCTTTATAATGGAATACCTAAGACTGTATGTATTCTGGCTTCATGTTAACACGCCAGCCACAGTATCTGAATGTTTGCTAAAAGGTGCATGCTCTGTGGCAACGGGTCATAAGAATCCTGCCCAAAAGAATGTCAAGAACATGAAAAGTTGCAAGGGTACCGTCAAAAGCATACTAGGTCTCAAACGTACAAACTACCCCGAAACAAGAACACACTTCTAAAGAGAAAAACTAGAATCTAACACTGACCTAGTATTGTTCCACCCTGACTGGATATTAAGATCTTGAGCTCAGGAGGTGTCACATACTGATAAAAAAGTCAGGTTTGAATAGGAGCCCCTCAGAAATTAAGACATATTTCAAGGTCTCCAAGTTAGGAAAAACTTTGCTACTTTACCACGTTCTATCTGATTCCCACAGGAATGAGGTGAAACAGCTCATTTAACACAAAGACAAGGAAGAGAATTACAGCTTGTAGCCTGTCCACAGCCATAGCACACCTAATGCACTGATTCATCAGATTGTATCCCACTCTCATTCTCATCAGGTTTAGAGTTTTAACATCCCAGCCCTCACCTCTCCTCCATGGCTAGAGGTAGTTGAAAACACCCGGGTTTGAAAAGTAGAAACATCTTTCAGTTTTGTTTATAATTCAGGAATAGGAGATAACCTGATGTTTACATTCTTATCACCTCTTTATGAAGGTAAAGACATGAAGATTCATTTGGGCTGCGGGCTCATGCCTATAATCCTAGCACTTTGGAAGGTCGATATAGGCAGGTCACTTGAGGTCAGGAGTTCGTGACCAGCCTGGCCAATATGGTAAAACCATCTCTACTAAAAATACAAAAATTAGCTGGAAATCACTTGAATCCGGGAGGCAGAGGTTACAGTGAGCAGAACGGAGATCATGCTACTGCACGCCAACCTGGGCAACAGAGTGAGACTCTGTCAAAGAGTCATCTGGCTATCTGAACAATTCTAATTAGAGACAAACACTGCTACTTAAAACTTACCCAGTATACATCCAATTAAGCTTTTCCTTTCTCACCATACTTTTCTAATGCATTAATAAAATATGTGCAATTTGGTGAATAATGGACAGACTAGTTTAAGTATCATTACATTTATTTTTGCTCATTTTTCCTGATTTATCTGCTTTGTCTCCTTTCTGCAACATTTTTACTGACGTTCTAAAACCAGTAAAACTGAATTCAGGCCGGGCACGGTGGCTCACGCCTATAATCCCAGCACTTTGGGAGGCCGAGACGGGTGGATCACGAGGTCAAGATCACGAGGTCTCGACCAGGTCGAGACCATCCTGGTCAACATGGTGAAACCCCGTCTCTACTAAAAATACAAAAATTAGCGGGGCATGGTGGCGCATGCCTGTAGTCCCAGCTACTCGGGAGGCTGAGGCAGGAGAATTACTTGAACCCAGGAGGCGGAGGTTGCAGTGAGCCGAGATCGCGCCCTTGCCCTCCACCCGGGGAAAAAAGAGAGAAACTCCGTCTCAAAAAAAAAAAAAAAAAAAAAAAAAAAAAACTGAATTCAGATTCTAAAGCTGCCATTTCACTAGTGCCTAGTACAGTGCATACTCTATAACAATACACATTTAACTTCATTTTCACTTCCTATCAATTTTTTTTAGAAAAAAAATATTTTCCCAAAGAAAATTATGCCAGCTCAAATTATTTCCTAGTTGGAAACAAAGATTCTATACCACTATTTTTTTTTCCCCTCATTCAGCACTGAATTACGTCAAGTCTGGTGTTGGGGATACCATGAGCCCTAGGCTCCTGCCCTAAAGCAGCTCAAAATCTGGTAAGAGAGGGCTTCGAGAGACACCATCTCAAAAAAAAAAAAAAAAAAAACGGTTAATTCTGCCAAAGGTTTCCCCACTGTCGCTGGCAAATTTACAAAATCTTTCCCTTTCCACTGCATAGTTGAGAAGTACACAATCTTTTTTTTTTTTTTTTTTTTTTTGAGATGGACTCTCACTCTGTCGCCCAGGCTGGAGTGCAGTGTGAGACCGCGGTTTACTGCAACCTCTACCTCCTGGGTTCAAATGGTTCTCCTGCCTTAAGCCTCCCAAGTAGCTGGGATTACAGGCGTCTGCCATCCTCCCCAGGTATAATTTTTTGTATTTTTGCTAGAGACCAGGTTTTGCCACATTGGTCAAGCTGAATTCCTGACCTCATGTGATCACTCATCTTGGCCTCCCAAAGCGCTGGGATTACAGGCGTGAGCCAGGGTACCAGGCCGAGAGGTGCATAATCTTAACAACCAGAAAAAACTTTCAACAGTTATCTCCAAAAACGTAATCCCTACTGAGATGTTCCTCATCACCTTTAATAGTTATGAAACTCTTTTGCCCCCATTTCCACTGCAACTCAGCCTCATTTGAGAGAATGAGACAGGCCTGAGGTCTGGGTTTAATTGCTAAGTTGGGGAAGAGACAGGCATAATGGTTAAATGGGGACTGCCTGATTTTTTGTCTGGGCACTTACTAGCTGTGTGATCTTGGGCAAGCTGTTTAACTTTTCTGTGCCTTGGTTTCTTCATCTTTAAATGACTAAGATTAGTACCCGCCTAGTGGTGATGAAAATTAAATGAGCTATTAATATACTAAAGTTCCTAGTTGTTATGAATACCATTGAATTTTCGTCTTCTGGAGGGTAGAAATGGGTTTTATTCATTATCGTAATTCTTAGAGTATACCATACAATGCCCTCTATGTGTGCTCAATAACTAACACTGAAAGAATAAGCAGTTTTATATTTTCAACAGTAATTATTTTAAGAACTTAAGAAGAACTAACCTTCAACAAAATGTGATCCTTCAGTAACAAACTCCAGTAACTGGTCAAAGATTGCAGTAATCGCCTTCTTAGCCAGCACAAAGTGCTTCAGTGGAGAAACAGTTTCTGCCATTATGCTGCTAAATAAAGTCAGAAAAGCACAAACTGAAGTGGATGATAGACATGCAACTGATGACACACCAGTGACATTCACCAACTCCCCAACAGAATAAATTAGGCTGGCAAAATGTTTTCGGGCAATTTTTTTTTTTGGCAATGTTCTAGTCAGACAACTAGAGACGACTTTTGAACATTCCGCTAAAATAAGTGAAATCTATTAGACAAAATCTTGGTTGCAATTTCTACCCAATTTCCATTTGGTGAAGAAGAAACTAATTGTGGCTAAGATTGTCACTGCATGTGACTCTGAAGTACTTCAGGACACAGGGTGAGAGGAAGCCAAGTTCACAACAAATAACCAAGTGATTAAGTTTCTCCACCTGGAGCTAGTCTAGGTGGGTAGGAGTGGATATGCAGAGTGAGGAAATCCCAAGATCACAATACGAGACTGAAATTTAGAAAGAACTTCAGGCCGGGCGCAGTGGCTCACGCCTGTAATCCCAGCACTTTGAGAGGCCGAATCACGAGGTCAGGAGTTCGAGACCAGCCTGGTCAACATGGTGAAACCCCGCCTCTACTAAAAATACAAAAAATTAGCTGGGCGTGGTGGTGCGCGCCTGTAATCCCAGCCACTCGGAGGCTGAGGCAGGAGAATCACTCAAACCCGGGAAGCGGAGGCTGCAGTGAGCCGAGGTCGCTCCAGGGCACTCCAGCCTGAAGTCAGAGCGAGACTCCGTCTCAAAATAAAAAAAAGGACGGAGTTCGACACTACAGATGAGGAGGTAAGGCTTAGAGAGTACATTAACGCTTCCAGCCAAAATACCAGAAACTTCAAAACGACCTCAGTTGATTTTTTTTCTCTTTTTTTTTTCTTTTCTTTTCTAGGATCTAAGTTTTAAAAACACTTCCCGTGGTGGTATCTCAAGAAAAAGACACCAAAGACAGTGACACCCGGTCTAATCCCGGTGTGGACACGGAAAGCCACGGCGGCCACGAAAGCGGATTCTTCCCGAGGGTCGGGAAACGCCGCGCGGAGCAGCCGCCCGGGAAAGGCTCCCACCTCCCCGCACCCCGCCCCGCGCCCGTCCAGGTCCGGCCCCCGACTCCCGCCCCCAGCTCGGCCTCGCGGGCTCCGCTCGGCCGACAGTTCGCTCCCTCGTTTCCCACAGGACGCGGCGGCGGCGCCTCGTCACAGAACGCCGCGTCCCCGGCTCCTGCTCCCTGTCCTCAGCCGCTCGAGGGTCACTCCGAGCGCCGCAAACGCGCTGGAGGTCAAGGCAGCCGACACTCACAGTCTCCGCCCCGACTACCGCCCGGCAACAGCAGCTCGGCCGCAGGCCCCGAACGGCCTCATCTTCCCGGGAAGTTAGCAGCGGAGAGGAGGCGGGGGAATGGCGGAGGGATCACTTCCGGCCTCTCGCCTCCGCTGTTTTGTTTGGCTCCGGGGCCGGAAGTGCGTCTCTACCAGGCGCCATTTTCCTTAAGGGCAGAAGGCAAGCTTGCTGTGGGCAGGAGCTGCTGCCAGGAGCGTGATTTCCGTTCCCGCTCCAACTTCTCCCCCAAAGTGTCCAAGCCTCTGCCCAGCCTAGGCTTAGCCAGTTTCCAATGACGGTTGTGGCTGATGCCTGTAATCGGCACGTTGGGAGCCCAAAAGGGGTGGAGTATCTCTTAAGTCCAGGAGTTGGAGACCCGCCCCCACCCCCAGCGTCTCTACAAAATAAAAGAATGAAAAGTTTAAAAAATTTAAAAGCCGGCCGGGCGCGGTGGCTCACGCCTGTAATCCCAGCACTTTGGGAGGCCGAGGCGGGTGGATCACGAGATCAAGAGATCGAGACCATCCTGGTCAACATGGTGAAATCCCGTCTCCACTAAAAAGACAAAAATTAGCTGGGCATGGTGGCGCATGCCTGTAATCCCAGCTACTCAGGAGGCTGAGGCAGGAGAATTGCCTGAACCCAGGAGGCGGAGGTTGCGGTGAGCCGAGATCGCGCCATTGCACTCCAGCCTGCGGAACAAGAGCGAAACTCCGTCTCAAAAAAAAAAAAATTTAAAAGCCTAGCGAGGCGTCGTGGCACACACCCGTGGTCCCAGCTTCTTCGGATGCTGAAGTGGGAGGATCGCTTGGGCCCAGGGCTGCAGTGAACTGTGATTTATCGCACCACTGCACTCCAGCCTGGGCAACAGAGCGAGACATTGTCTACAGATCAAAAAAATCAGAGGAAATCCAGATCATATTACTCTCTGAGTTTAAAAGCTTTCCAACAGCTTGCCATTATACTTAAAATTATAGCTTCGGATCGTAACCGTCCAAGGAAGGGGTTCACCTTGCCCGCTGCCTGTAGAGAACTGATTCAAGACAGGGGAACTGCAATAAAGAGTAATCCACGCAGAGCCCTCTGTGCGGGAGACTGGAGTTTTATTATTAATAAAATCGGTTTCCCAAAGCAGCATTCTTGGAGCAGAGTTTTTAAGGACAATTTGCTGGGGGAAGGGGCCAGTGAGCCAGGAGTGCTGATTGGCCAGGGATGAAATCACAGGGAGTGGAAGCTGTCCTCTTGCTCTCAGGCAGTTCCTGGGTGGGGGGACAGTGGATCAGATGAGCCAGTGTATCCGTCTGGGTGAAGCCAGCTGATCCATCCGTTCTGAGCACAGGTAGTTGAAAAGGGAACGTCTACTTTATTTTGTTTGAATTTTAAAAATCATGATGGTATCCTTTTATTACTCCTGTGCTTAATAATTATATTTAATATAATTACTGTATTTTGAAGAAAGACGGACATATTAGATGCTATAAATTATAACACGGTAATTAAATGTTTAATATAGTAATAAGAAATTTAATCCATTGCCTTTTTTGTGTGTGTGGAACAAACATATCACCAAAAAACCAGGAGAGTAAACACAAAGAAGGAAAAGAATTAAAATATAAAAGCTAAAACCAACATAAATATTAACAAAAACTAATGTTATTTGAAAGAAATTATCAATTTGATGTATCACTGCCAAATTTGTTCAAGAACATAAAAAATGTGAGAAGACACAGATTAAGGGCAGAATAACTATAGATAAATAATATAAATGCCAATAAATTGAAAAGGTAAGATGAAGTATAAAATCTGGGAAAACATCAAATACCAAAATTAGCCTGAGCAAAAATAGAAAACTCGAATAGGCTAAATTTCCCACATATACAAAAATTGCCAGGTCTAGATGATTTTAGGGATAACTTTCTACCACGTTTAAAGAAAAGATTTATCATACTTCATATAGATTTCTGCAAAGCTTAGAGAAAGAGAATACACCAATGCATTTTTAATTTTTTTTTGAGACAGAGTTTCACTCTTTTTTCTCAGGCTGGAGTGCAATGACATGATCTCAGCTTACTGCAGCCTAGGCCTCCGGGTTCAAGTGATCCTCCTGCCTCAGCCTTCGGAGTAACTGGTATTACAGGCACAGGCCTCTATGCCTAATTTTGTACTTTTTAGTAGAAATGGGGTTTCACCATGTTTCCAGGCTGTCTCAAACTCCTGACATCAGGTAATCCACCCACCTTGGCCTCCCAAAGTGTTGGGATTACAGGCATGAGACACCGCGCCAGGCCCCCAGCGCATTTATGAGATTTAAAAAAACCTAGATATCACACTGGATAAGGAGAGTACAAGTAGAGAAAATCACACAGGCTGGGTGTGGTGGCTCGTACCTGTAATCCCAGCACTTTTGGAGACGGAGGCGGGCGGATCACCTGAAGTCAGGAGATCAAGACCAGCCTGGCCAACATGGTGAAACCCCGTCTCTACTGAAAATACAAAAATTAGCTGGGCATGGTGGCACACGCCTATAATCCCAGCTACTCAGGAGGCTGAGGCAGGAGAATCGCTTGAACCCGGGAGGCGGGTTCAGCATGTTGGTCAGGCTGGTCTTGAACTCCCGACCTCAGGTGATCCGCCCGCCTTGGCCTCCAAAGTGCTTGGATTACAGGCGTGAGCCACCATGCCCGGCCTTTTTTTTTTTTTTTTTTTTTTTTTTTTTTGAGATGGAATTTTGTTCTTGTTACCCAGGCTGGAGTGCAGTGGCACAATCTCAGCTCACTGCAACCTCTGCCTCCCAAGTTCAAGTGATTCTCCTGCCTCAGCCTCCCGAGTAGCTGGGATTACAGGCGCATGTCATCACACCCGGTTTAGAATATTTTTTTAATCCAAGTAGGGCTTTCCTAGGAATATAGAGGTCATCAAATAGAAATCAATATAATCCATAATATTGACAGACTAAAGGAGGAAACCCACATTTATCTGAATACATGGAGAAGTATTTGCTAAAGTTGAATACATATTTATAGTAAGCTCTAATATGTATTTATTATTTATTTGCTATAAGCAAAGCCCTAATATTTACTTATTTTTTTAAAATTATTAGCTGTTTCTCTTTATTTCCCTTGTTCTCTGCCTACGCTTACCCAAGCCCTAATATTTAAAGCATGCTGTTGCTATTAAAGTATGTGATACTTCTGGAGGAACAAACAATGGAATATAATTGCATAAGACACAGGTTTATATGCCAACTATGCACATGGGGAGTTGCTGTTATATGATAAAACTGGTATTATGAATCACTGGGTAAGATGAATTATTTCGTAGCAGTGGAGAAATTGGTTCACTTGAATTAACAAAAATAAAGTTTGAGTCACATCTATAAACAAATTCAGATGGGTGTAAGACCTAAACATAAAGAGTAAAACCAGAAAATTAGAAAAACATGTAGGAAAATAATTTGGGGACATTGTAGTTGGAAAGAATTTTGTAAAATTAAGAGGCAGGAGGTACAACATAAAAGGGAAAATGTAATGAATCTATTTATGTTATATTTTAGGATTTCTGCTCAACAAAAGACATCAATAACAGACATATAGGGAATCTATTTTTTGCAGTATATACTGCCAACAAAAATCAATATTTAAAAATAAAGAACTTCTGAAAATTGAGCAGAAAACCCAACAGAAAAGCAGACAAAGGATAGGGAGAAGCAGTTCACAAAATGAAAAGTTAAAACTACTAATAAGCACATTAAAATAGTCTCAACCTTGTTAGTAATCAGATTATGCAAATTTGAACAATAATAATGTACTACTTTATACCCTTAAGATTTAGAGCACTTGGCTTGATAGTAGATATTCCATACCTGTTGGTTAAATCGAAGTGCAGTAAAATAGAAGTTTGTTTTTGTTTTTGAGACGTCCCACTCAGTCGCCCAGGCTGGAGTGCAATGGCATGATCTGGGCTAACTGCAATCTCTGCCTCCCGAGTTCAAGCCATTCTCCTGCCTCAGCTGCCTGAGTAGCTGGGATTACAGGCATCCACCATCATGCCAGGCTAAGTTTTGTATTTTTGTAGAGATGGGGTTTCAACATGTTGGCCAGGCTGGTCTCAAACTCCTGACCTCAGGTGATCCACCCACCTCAGCCCAAAGTGCTGGAATTACAGGTGTGAGCCACTGCACCCGACCTGTAAAATAGAAGTTTTTAAGGTCCAAAAAAAAAAAGTTTTTAAGGAAGTGGGTGTCCAATCTTTGGCTTCCCTGGGCCACATTAGAAGAAGTATTGTCTTGGTTCACACATAAAACACATTAACACTAACAATAGCTGATTAATTTTCTTTAAAAATTACAAAAAAATCTTGTAACATTTTAAGAAAGTTTACAAATTTGTGTTGGGCCATGGGTTGGACAAGCTTGGTTTAAGGAGTTGCAGAACCCATGGACTATTTAAGAAAAACTTAGTAACATTGTATCTGTCGTTCATGGTCACAGTCACACAATTTACAGCTATCAAACAGGGATTACAAATCAGTTACGTGCTTTTGTCCTTTATTTTTTAATATGTTATTTTCTCTAAGTGTTTGGTATGACATTCCATAAAAAATACAGGGCACATTTTAACTTTAAAGAAAATTATTTGAAGAGTGGTAGGGAGTTTTGCATGTTTATTCTACCTTAAAAAGCATTTGACTAATGATGTTAGAAGATCATTTTTCTGAAGTATAAACAAGAAGTTTAATTTGGAATTCTGTATTCTCCAATTTCAGTCATTCATGTATCACCTACCCAGTTTTTTTTTCCATATCCATCTATGACTATTATTATTTACTTCATATTTTTCGCCAATTCACTTTTCTTAAATAACGTTATCCTAAGTAAAAATACTCATGAATCAAAGTGTTCTGCCAATTAAATTTTATACCATATAATTTACAACGATGAAAGTAAAAACTATGTATCATATATCATTATTGTTATTATTACTGGAGACAGGGTCTCGCTGTCTGCCCACGCTGAAATGTGGTGGCACAACCAATAGCTCACTGCAGCCTTGAACCCCTGAGCTTAGCAATCCTCTCACTTCAGC